CCAGATTGCCTGAATGAATGTCTGGAGGTGTAGGCACCTCGGAATAATTGTGTTAAGCTAGCACTAAGTCCCTCCCCCATCCACCTTTATTCTTTTCTTTACAATAAGGCTTTCAAATAAGTCATGGCTGTACGGCAGTGAAGCATTGGTGTTGAGCACTGATGTCATGCTGTCGTTGATGATGTTGACTCATTCTGTGAAAGGAGTAGATTTGGTTTGCGTGGGACCGGAGCTTTTGATAGAAAGCCATCAGGTGGGTTTCTCTAGCGTTGTCCAAGTTTTATCGCATTGTTTTTATATTTTCGTTTCAGCTTCACGTGGTGGCTTCCTGCACTACCATTCAGCTTGCTCATTTTCGTCTACGATGAAGTGCGAAAACTGTTGCTCCGGAAGCTGCCACCAGATTCGTGGCTTGAGAGGGAAACCTACTATTAGAAGTTGTAGAGGTAGCACTGTCTGTTTTAGCCCTGACGAGCATTTTTCGGCAGGCCTCAGTTCCCTCCCGGATCTTTCCACCACTCCGCCGTTCGACGTCCCTATTTTGATTCATTTGCACACATCTACAAACTCTGCTTCTCCACTCGAATCATTTCCTCGTATTCTCACTTTCACTCTCTTTTTCAACAGTGCATCTACTGCGTCTATTCTCTTACGTTGTGATATGTTGGTGGACGTTGCGGAGAGTTTGTCGATGACCCTTATCCCCTACTTCATTATTTGATCTGTACCGTTGCTAGAGCGCTGCAAAATAGCTTCATTTTTAGCTGTGAAGACTACTTCCGCATCTCGATCGCGGCTCCAAACAATCAGACTCGGTCCCCATCCATCCACCCAGCGTGTGGACATTATCTAACCCCTTTTGTGTCTAACATGCTATGGATCAAGCAACCGTTCCATGTAATCGAGAGACAGCTTTTATTTGTAATATCAGCTAATCGTCTCCTCTCTCTTTCCACCATCACCTGAGATGCTGGAAAATTTTCAAGCCTTGAGTTCCTATGGCGCGTAGGATAGTATAACAGCTTCATTGTGCAACCATTATCATCATAGTAACAACTGTCCTTAGATTGTATCTATCTAAAATTATGTACTTCTTGATCTGCAAGAGCGTTCTTGTCCCGCCTGTGTTGCCTTACGTTGTGGCAGCTCCTGTGGCCTAAGTAATTTCCAACTACATAGTTTCATGAGTTTTTGGCGGATGAGTGCACGTGACGACGATGACTACTCCTTTTTTCAATGCCATTCGATTCGAACTTTACTAGTGCGGACATTTGGTAGTATTTTTGCATTTTCTTGTGGGATTTGCAAATCGTTCTGTTGTTGATACCCACGCTCGTCGTATAGATAATCGAGTTGCTCTGTTTTTGTTTTGTCGTCAAAGGGTGTTGCTCTCCGTCTGATATACCAGTGGGTTAGTACTTAGGAAAATGAGTCTTCTACAACTCCGATTCTCGATCCATCCTTCTGGTTGGTAACCATTTCTGTAGTCCTTGATGCTTGTCTTCAGAATACTGCTCTATTTCCATCCCCTGTCCCACCGAATTGTGCAAGCATGTCCTCTATCCGCTCACTGACATAAATCCGTACAAATGCACTTCCATTGTCACATCAAATGGAGGATTTATTGTAACGTGTCGTTATTACAACCAATATGAATGATGTAAGATGTAGATCACAGTTGTTTCAAATTCACCTATCACTACTCTGTCGCACGGTGGCTGCCAAACTGTGAACAAAATATCAAGTCGCGCTTCCCAGTCAAGCTTGTGTTGTCAAAAACCGGTCTCTATGTACGTTATTTGTGAGTTCGAAGTAGGACATCAATATACACAGGCCCGGTCGGTTTATTGGCGTATCGGCGCGCGCCTCGGGAAGTCCGCCCGATCGGGATTGTTGACAAATGGGTGTAGATTTGGATGCTTCCAATTTCATGTAGTCGCGTCAATCCACATCAACCAATAGCCAACGAGAATTTACTCATTTACTCATCATTTAGACGGAAACGAGAAGCTGTGTTGGTGCTTTCTGAAAAACAGGTTTAAGCAAGCTACACTTGTAAATTTGGATTGAAGTATTTCGCTGTCAGCTGTTGATCCCAACTCAAATGCCCTTGTATCGCATTTCGTTGTATTTGAACTGATAATGTCCTGTTGTCGATGAATTCAGGAGGGTATTGCGCACCCATAGATATCCTTCCTATAGTGGAAGCGTTTTCTCGAACAAACCGTTTCTCTCTGGTCACTTGTGTCTCCGTTTCATCCTTTGTTGATGTTATCTTTGTTCTGAACTATATCCCATATTTGATGATAGCTACCACCAAAGCAACTCTGTTGAGAGCAAATCTGTCAGCAACCCAAATGCCGTAGCACAGGCTAACTGTATGATGTAAGATGCGTTCAACCAAAAACATTCTGGATGATGACGAAGAAAGATGGCAGGAGGCCTGTGAGGAACATGGGCTCTAGTGGTTATCATGCACCCTCGGAAATTCTCGACATTCACTTTCGTCCACTGCGTATACAACAGACCAGCATCCGTTTCTGGGTCTATCTGTAATGCTGTGATACGTCGATAGAACTCCGGACACAATAGATAATGCCATATGCAGTTTGAACTGAGTTAAGTGAGAAACAGGCTGTATTCTGTGCAAACTAGAGTCAATAAGAAGAGAAAAGAGTAGCCCTGTAATATATAGCATGCCCTACGGATGTCTCATAAGAAACGGTTGAACTTCATGGTGAACGTGTAAGCTGGCCCGGTTTCTATCACCACCCGATGTGCACACACACGGCCTTCACAATGATGATTACATAAAGGAAATTTTTGGCGCAACGTTTTAAAAAGTCCAGATTGCGAGGGTCGTTTGGAGATTTAAATCGGAACATCGTATTGGGGCGGGGGCAGCGGCGTCCAGTTCATTGGACCCTATTGATGACTGTAGTCATGGAGTCACTTTTGGTACGGTTGCAAACTACAACTTATATAGATTCAAATTCACAAGGCTTTCGCATTGAGTTGAAGTAGAATATGGAGGAATTTAACGATGCTGGAGATACAGAAATTGTCCGATCAGTTCAGCAAAGGCGTGGCCAATGTGCCAAAGCAGTAGACATTGTGATGCAATACGATTTCCAGAAAATATATTTTTGCGCCTCAAAACAGGTGGTAAATTTCCGTAATCTCATTGACAATGTTGAGCGTTGCTGCATCGCTTTTTGTCTCAAAACAGTTGCAGGTTACAACCGATTTGGGGCTTCAAATCGGTCATTTTAGCTTAGTCAAGTGTAACTGCCTGTTCTGTGGTAAATATATGTTCTGTATAGCCGTGGATCCGTTCAAGGGTGACAAGTTTAATTTTACTGTAAGGTGCGTTTCCGATATCACTGCCATAAGAAGCCGTTCACCTTGCTCCTCAGCGTATGCTGGTGAAGGGTAGAAGTACCGAATTTTAGATTGCGCCGACCTAGAATTGTATATGAAGTCAGTCTTCTCAAGGATTACCGAATTCTTACAAATGATAATTACAGCAAGTGATTGCTTTTCGTCGTAGAGTTCAGACGAGGGATCTTCACCAGTGGTATACGAGAAAAACACCGGGTCAAATCGAATAAGTCGATATAGTATGTCCAAGGGGTATGTACGGAACCTGCTAGTATTGCAATAGCCCTAACAGCAGTCAGGGAAGAACGTGGAGGAACCTAAAGACCGGTAAGAAATCTGGGATTATGGTTCAAAAGGTTAAGAAACATGGGACTTGTTGGCAACACCGGAATTAGGTGGGACAGCCAAACTTACTTGGTTGAGTCAGATCCACATTTTTCACAATCGGTGTACTAGGTAGGCAAACCTAATAACACTAAAGGGTAAGAGGGTGCTGGAAGTCCGTATATGATGACTCGGTAAGAAAAAAAAGTTGGGAAAGGAAGCTTTTGCATTACCACTTAGTACTTTCTTTTATTGCGTCCTTTTACTAAAAATATCTCACACTGAGGGTCATAAATCAGCTCATTTGATTCGCCTGTGAAAACCAGGACCAGGTCTCTTCTATTAAGGATGCAAGCCGAACGATGCTAAATTCCGGAGTAAGGAATAAGTTGCCACGTTGGTAGGCAACTTTTGAGTGCTTGGTGAGATGGGCTCGCTTTTGTTTATTGTTTTCAACAAACAGTGCTGCATGAAGTGATTTTTAGTTGACGCACAAACTCAGTCAAAACAAAACCGTAGGATGGTGTGTTACCAGTTTCCTTGATGGGACAGAACTTCTGACTAACACCAATGTTGACTACGGAGAAGTTTTGTTTGTTCGTCCTGGAAACATGCGTTAGCTACCCACCAACATTTGCAGAAAAACTTTTTACTGTGGTCAGAAGACCATGAACCTCATGTAATTTACTGTTTGAAACAGCAGGGATCGATTTCCAAAAGTTACAGATACTTGTAACAGCTTGCGGACAAAGCATATGGAAAAAATCCACTAAATATGCTTTTCAAGAAAACGAGATCTGAGCGGTCGTCATAAATATATCGCTTCGTAGGACAAATGTATGGCATTTATTGCCACATCGATTTCGTGCTTAATTTTGAGTAATAAGCGGAACCCGCCCTAATTCATGAATTATGTTCTAGTCAGGCTGGAACGGCAACAGGCAGGCATAGGACGCAAAATATTAACACAGGAGTCCTTCCTGAGTTCTTGTTCTATGGTTGATAGTCACTGTGTAAACCGATAGCTTCGATCCAAGCCAATTCCATGTCTCGCCAATGGTGCAAGTTGGTGTAAGAATCTAGTAGACATATGAGTAGCTTCAAGAAACTAGCTGGGTTTTTGAAAATGCTCGTGCTTGTAATGAGTCACATCAAGTTACGAGTTAATAACTGAGTAATTTGTTCCCCATAAATTCGACTCCGCTGAGTCACAAAAACCTACTATCAGTTTTCACAGGAAAGTGTGTTCTGAAGTGCCCGCCGGTACTCGAGCCAAAAGGGCAGGGTTGTTTCTAGGTTTCATGGTGTTTCCTCCATTTCGTGAAGAGTTTTGTAGTATGCCGCCGATTTTTATTACATCTGCGAATGAAATCGATTATCCGAACTCCTGAAAATAAATTTACTGAACTTTCTATGCAACATATCTCTTCGTATGTCTAGTCCGGTTTCACAGACCAGGTTATATCCGTCGACAGGAAATTTCTGATGGCCGGGTAGTATCAAAATACTGCAGTATCCGCATGTCAAAGATTGGCCAAATACTGTATAAGGTGGGGAAATTCATGCATCACAACAGACAAACTCTCTGTAGTCTTGATGGACGAATCAGACATTTGATGCGGGTGTTTGCAAATCCGATGAGTTGAGATCTTATCAAATCCTTCGCGTCCCAGATCACAACCCAAAGCGATGGCACATGAGAGTTCTCCAAGTATCCGGGCTAGATGCAATCATAGTTCCCCATGTTGTACCATGGCTTTAGGAAGATTCCTCCGGCGTGGGCCAAGTGACTCACGATTGTTCCAGTCATCGATAATGCAAGTTAGTGTTGAAAATCACCATACAAGAAAATGAAACGCCATTTATATAGCTAGTTGCTGGCATGCGATGCAGGATTTCGGGTGACCCTTTTCGGTTTGATCCGAAAAAGAACACCTCTTCAAGGGTAGGGGACAATCCAGAACACGTGTTACAAGA